TTCAGGTGACCTTCAATATGAAAGGGCCAGCACGATGCTGCCAAGTCCATCCGCCTTCAGCAGCCTTGCACCAGAATTTCGGTCAGGCCCTCTAAACCACCAGCCCGGCCGCAAGCATCCAACAACCATGAAAACCAGCCAACACTGCCTTGCAGCTGTCGAGAAGAAGTCGGCTAGCTTGCTTCATTCGCGACCAGCCCTCTCCTGCCATCAACATCTTTTAAAGGAAGGAGAAAAATCAGGCATTACATAAATGTAAAGATGCGGTTCTAAAAAAAGGCAGAAAAGCAGAGCAAAATTAAGCTAAAAAGCCAGAGAAAATCAAAAGTTACAGGGGGAGACCGGTGAATAAGCAGACCACAAGCTAATCCTCGTGACGGACTTAATCTCCAAGTCGACTCCTCGAATACTCTCGCGCAGACCGTTGGAGCCATCGAGCTTGTGTCGAAAGTCGTCGACTACTTCTCGACGCAACGTGGCGGGGTAAGGGGGCACGTGGGAGCCACTCCTGTCGCTAGCCATACAGCTGATGGTGGAGAGTCCACCGGCGGCACACCACGGGAGGAGGGCAAGGGGGCGACGCGGTGGGGGTTAGGGTTTATGGGGTGGATGGGAAAGAATCAAAAATTATCAAATTAAACAGGATTTTTTATTAGATAAATAAGCAAGATTTTATTTTCAAATTTCAAAAAAATTCAAATGGAATTGAAATCGGATGATATTGTTTACCAAATCTTAACCAATCTGATCAAACTCCTCCCTACACGCATGGAAATTGCAATCAATTAGTTACCAAATCCATTAGCCCTGGACATGTGATAAAATTCAAAATAAAATTTCAGAAATGGTAAAAAATGAAAAATAGAAGCGCAAAAATGACATAAAAAAGCGGGAAAATGAAAGTATTTTTTTTTATGAGTTTTTTAAATAATTTATCTTAGCCGTATTATATAATAATAGATAATACATTTGTTGACCAGACGCAGACATATTGTCTGTGAAACCCACTTTTGAATTGAAAGGGTTTTTTTTTATTAAGCAAAATTATTGTATAACTAATAAACGATTTTATGCGAATGCACAAATACAAACAAAGTATTATATATATATATAATATTTAAAATTATAAGTTAGATAATAATATTTTATATTTAAAAATTTTAAATAAACGAAAAGAGTTTTGTTCAAAACTTTGTCTGTTCATACATGTTATAGTTTTTTTCATAAAAATACATATCTATCATTATATAAAAAGAATAACTTTTTTACAAATTTAGAAACTTTTTCCCGCCAAAATCATTAAATATATCTTATATATAGTAATTGTTAGACAAATCTGAATAGGCAAAAAAATTCGCTCATTAATTGTATAAAGATTTGTTTCTTTTTTTCCTGTTTCTTAGTTTATCGTTTTAACAATAAATATTTATCTTTTTTCTATTTTTAGTATAAATCTACACGAGCTTATATCTTCTGTTACAAAATCTCATTGCATGCGATCTTAGGTGTTTAAAAAATATCATCTCTTATCTATACATATTTGAAAAAATAAAATAAAATAGAAATCAATTCATAATTACTACTAGAAATCCATTATCTTTAAAAAGAAAAAATAAAATAAAATAGAAACTAATTCATAATTACTACTAGAAATCCATTATCTACTTTAAGAAGCTATTTTTCATCGGTCTAATTACTAATATTTTTACAAATATTCTAAACTAACCATACAAAAAAGTATAATAATAATTTTGAAATGGTGTGTAATCAAATTTTTTTATATTCTCTTATACAAAATCATTTTACATTGTTTGACCCCGAATCTTTAATTTATAATTATTAAGTATTGTTTATCCTCCTCTTTTATTTATAATTATTTTTTTTTCTTCCTCTTTTTAAATACGATCAATAGTAGCTTTCACTTCTGCCATTGACTCAAACTCGAGGTCTATTTATAATATTGTTCCCGTGCATTGCACGGGGTACACACTAGTTTATCCTATAAAATGCAATAGTTTTGCTTATATGTTAAAAATTTATAGTCAGCTAGTTGTTAGTGTGTTTAATAGAAACATTACTTTTTTTTAAAACTAATGTTGGTCTTGTGTTATCTTGGCCAGAGTATTAGGTTAACATACTAATTTTATAAATGTGCATACTTTTAATTAGAAAATTGCATAATTTAAAAAACAATATAATAGAAGTATGACTTTTGATAATAAAAGCATGTATTTTTTATTCAAATAATATATAAAAAGATGATAATAAAAGCATGCATTTTTGTTCAAATAATATATAAAAAGTATGATAGTATAAATTAACATACATTTATGTTTAAATAATATGACATCCACCCACTCAACATATAGACTGTTCACAAATTTTTTTAAGATTAAGAAAAGTACACAAAACAAACAGATACATCCATTGGGCCAAGTGTTCTTTCATTTTTTTTCCTTTTTCACTTTTATTTCTTCCCATTTCCTCAGTGATCTGGACAAATTGACAGCAGAATAACCCCGCAAATACAAGGCGCACCTAACAAGGCGGGTCTCAAAACTTAGACCCGTGACCGGCCCGCTTATATCTAAGGGTTGGTTCATTGAACCAGCCCGGTCCGGTGATTCAGTAAATCGCCGATTTAAAAAAAAAAATAAAAAAAAAATTTGTACTATGACCCGGCCCGGAACTAGACCCGACCCGACCCGGCAGGTCAAAAATGAGTACCACATGACCCTTAACCGGGCCTTAGGGGATTATGGACCGGTTCAAAAACCGGCTAGGGCGGGCCGGTTTCAGGACGGTCCGAGACCGGTTTCTGGCCGGTTCACGGGTCGGGCCATGGGTCGGGCCAACCCGTGGCCATGTCTAGTCTGTAATTTAGGACAGTATAATAATTAAAAGGATTCAACTCTGAAAAGGAATGATAAACAACCATAGGGCCACAAAATGATAGAAAAATACTTAGGAATATAAATAAAAAAACACTTACCAGAATTATTATTATAATTATTATATATTAAATTAAACTTCAAAGATGGGCCCATGATTGGGTGTCTGATCTGGCAAATTTAGTGATGCCAGGCTAGCATTTCCAATACATCATTCAGCCAATAATGGGCTCCACTTCACACAAAGCACATGCCATTCTCTCCTATGCCTATATAGTATATAATATACTATACACCCACATACACACCAAAATAATAACAATAATAATAAAAATGATAGGCAAGTAATAATATTAATAAAAAAATAATTTATTTTGTGTATGGTGTATTCATTATGAATTTTTGAACATTTTTTAAAATTTGAAAAACATTGGACCATTTATATATTTATTTTGAACATTTAAAAAATTTTGAAGTATGCATTTGATATTATAAAACGTTTCAAAAAGTTATTGAATATTCTTTTTTTTTTTACAATTAGAGTTAATTTAAAAATAATAATATAGTTAGTTGTTAATGTATTTTGATTTTATATTAAAATAATATTTAAAATAAAATAAATAAAGTTGGTTTGATGTAAAAGTACAAGAGGGATGATTTGAAGTGGTGACTAGTTAAAATTATGTGAGAGGATGAATATTGAATTAAAGTTGATGTGATTTGTAAGAATGATTGGTTGATATTATTTAATTATATTGGTAATATCTATATATATATAATAATAATAATAATAATAATAAGAATAACCATTTACCAAAAATAGTAGCAAACAAAAAGAGAGAATTTAATGCAACCCATAAATAGTATGCTTTATTATTTTATTTTTATTTTATCTTTAAAAAATCATACAACATTAAAAGTTGCCTTAAATTTTGGGCTTTAATTCATTTATTATTTAAACATTCCAGATAAAATCTATTAAGTGTGTATTTTTTAATTTTTTTTCTTAGAAACAAAGAACAACATTAAAATCTTAGCCTCTATATTTATTAAATTTCAATTGAAAAGGTAATAAAAGTTTTAGAATATCGGTGTTTATATTTATGCCTTCTAAAAAAATATTATATTTAATGATAATATATTATTTGTTAATAGTACACAATTTTGAAAATTCCATTATAAATTGTATGTTGATAACCAAATCATTCTATAAATGCAACCTGACTTTATTAAATCTCCACGAAAATATGGTAAAACAAAATGAGACGATCAACTTTGTATGAAAATAAAATAAAATCAATAAATCAATATGAAGTTCACAGAAAATGAACATAATTAATAATTTGAATAGTACACGGATCTCAAAATTAATACTCACGTGGATTCTAAAATTCAAACTTATACTTATCATCACCTTTTGGAAATTGAATAATATATTGTAGGCAAGATTTTTTTAAATCATTTTAGACATGTAATGATATATAAAATTTTAGATACTTTACATACGTTATATAATATTTTAGGTATTTTTAATATTTTAAACATACATTTTTATATGTTATTTTATACAAGATAATTTTATATTGTTCGCAACTGATATACGGTAACTTATGTCACATACATCTTAATTTATAATTATTAGTTAATATTGTTTACCATCATCTTTAATTTATAATTATTATTTAATATTGTTTACTCGTGTATCGCATAGGCTACGCAGTAGTTGAAGTTATTGGAGTTAAGTTAAATTTGAGTTAGATTTTGTGTATGAATTGAGTATATGGATTGAATTTTTTTATATACAAGCACACCCTTAAGATTTCTATATATATATTTTAATAAAAATATAAATAAGTATGCTGCATATAAAAAAATGAAGGATAATATACTACTATAGAAAAAAGGACAATTCAATTATATAGTGTCGGGCCGTCGGCAAAACAATCCGTTGGACAGAAAATTAAGAAAATGATTAAAGAATACTAATTCCTTCAACTAAATTAACACTATTTTCCTATTTATTTCATTATTTGCCGTATTAGATATTTTTGTCTTGCCCAAGTTTTCAATTTTAACAAACTCTGTTTTAATGTGTTAGTTTGTTCTGTGCTGTCCCTTTCACTTACCATACTTGTATTATTTTTATTTTATTGTTAAATATTAAGTGTCATTCTTACAGCTACATTTTTCTCCTTAATTGCCACTCATCATCATTCAATCTCGCTTCCTTTTTTTCGGTTCTTTCTCTTCTCGTTTTCTCTTCCCAGTTTTAGGGTGCAGTCAGAGATTCTTGCAACCTTTGAATGAGGGCTTGAAGAGGATAAAGACATGAAGAGGCCAGTAAGTACGTTAATTTATTTGTTTCTTAAGTGATTTTTGACTCTGTGTTAGTGTTAGTCCCTTGTTTTTTGTATTTAATTCCCTTTTTTTGCTTTCTTGGATCCCTTTACGAGCTTCTTTATTCCTGCAGAAAAAAGAGCAAATTTTGTCACCAAATTTTGTTGTTCAAGTCTTTGTTTAATGGTGAAAATTTTTAGTTTGAAATTTGAATCTAATTGTTCATTTGTTTTGGTGGCAGTTAAATAATTGAACTTGATTAGATCCTCAGTGTTTTCAGTTGGGCTGCTAGAGATTATTCCTATGTTGTTTTTATTGCTAGCGAATCTAAGTAGTATCGATCGAAAGTTGTGATCTTTTCTAGTAATTTCAGCATTTTTTGAGTAATTTCTTTGTGTGTGTATGTATGAATGTATGGCTTTCTTCTCTGGTTTTCTGAGTAAAAAAATTCAAGATCCATTAGTTAATTCAATGATATGTTAGTCATTTCCTGTTTTGCAATGAACTATTGTTATGATAAAGATTTGATCTTTTCGTGTTCTTTCACCACAGTACTGTTATAAACCAAAATTCGGTTGCATTGCTATGATAAAGATTTGATCTTTTGGTGTTCTTTTATAACAGTACTGTTATAAACCGAAATTCGGTTGCATTGCTATGATAAAGATTTGATCTTTGTGTTCTTTTATCACAGTACTGTTATAAACTGAAATTCGGCTTTGCTCTGATGAAGTCCACTAGGAATATCAGTCTTTTTATTGAAACCTCACATTGGTTTCTTTCTCTTTTCTTGCATATAAACTAGCTCATAGCTTATTTGATTAACTTATAATCTTCTTGTATTCAAATAAATAAGCTTAATCTAGTAGGACGAGTTTTTATAAAAATCTCGAGCTTATCTCATAAGCTTCGTTGGATAACTTTTCAAATAGCCCATTGATTTTTTTTTTCATTTTTTTTTTTCCA